GCGATGACATCGACAAAATGCCTGACATTACGTTCACAATCGGCGGAAAGCAATTCAAATTAAGTGGTTCTCAATACGTGTTGAAAGTAACACAATTTGGCAAAACTATGTGCATTTCAGGCTTTATTGGACTCGACGTTCCGGCGCCTATGGGTCCGCTTTGGATCCTCGGAGACGTCTTTATTGGTCCCTATTATACAGAATTCGATTTCGGCAACAAAAGAGTCGGATTCGCGCAAACCGTTTAGACATTGCACTCAATACTCTATTTTTCAAAGCAATCAAACTTTAGAACTCAAAGACGACCACAAGAAATGGTTTTCTTAAAAAAAAACGTTGAAAATTATCGACATTTTGTTCATAAACTAATGTGTGACTAAATATTCTCATTTATATATCGATAAAAATCACAATTATTTAGATAAGTATACGTAAACTCAAAGTAATGATAGATTACAAGACAGAAGCACTGATTCTTATAGAACTCCAACCGTCACAATATTTTTGGCTCTATTTTTAATTTTGTTTTGAAAATTTATTTTGTATCAAAAAAAGGTTACACAATATATTGAGATAATAATAATAAAGACAGAAGCACTGATTCTTATAGAACTCCAACCGTCACAATATTTTTGGCTCTATTTTTAATTTTGTTTTGAAAATTTATTTTGTATCAAAAAAAGGTTACACAATATATTGAGATAATAATAATAATGAATGAATACTTTATTATATAATTAATAATAAAATGATTAAAAAGAAAGTCCAATTAATTTACACTAATTGTTGTCAAGCGTTAATCAAAATCATAAGTAGTAATAAACGATATAACAAATGGTAATCGGAATGTAAGCCCTGTTAATGAGTCGTCAATTATAATATAATACATGCATTTTGTTCGAAGAGAAGAATCGTCGGGAAGAATATTCGGGTCTAAAGAGTGCCCGAAAGGACAGCAACTCTAATACCACTACTTTGTGCTCCAATTATGTCATAAAATCTAATAATTTATAAATGATTTAAAAATAAGAAAAACTACAATAAAAGTTATATTAATTGTGTTTCTCGAGTCGTTGTGCGCATCGATTCAGACAAAGCATGACATGAAATCGATTCAAACTCTTCTGTACGGATGATAGCCCTGTGCTTGAGATGAAGCTCTAGTATAAGGAGCGGAGCTGGCATTGGCCGCGTTGGCCGAGCCGTAAGCATTGCTCGACGCGGTCGGTGCGTCGCCCCCTCCTTGCAGTGCATAGTTGGCATAATTGGGAGCACTTGTATAACTGCCAACTCTCGCCGGACCATAACTGGAAGCCTCCTGAGGGTATGTGCCTATAGAGCAAAACATCGAGATATCAATACTATTTACTTCAAAAATAGCACAAAAAACTAACCACTCGTTTGCGGTGCAGAAGAGCCGACATTCGATATAACTTGTGCGGGAGTTATGGTTGTATTAACGCCAGCGGCCGGCATATAGGCTCCAACGGCTGCCACAGTGCCGGCAGCGTTGGCCCCAATGGGCGTCTGTGCCACAGGTGTTTGGCTGGCGTTCGCCGGGTTCTGTCCGCTCCCCTGTCCATAGCCCGGATAACTCGTATTATAAGGACCTTAATTACAAATAATTTATGTCAATTAAATTCGTATATTTAATCAAATATAAAATCGATTAAAAGTAGAAATAAATTCAACTAGTTCATATGGGCCTCGTTTGACGCCATAAAGTCCCGATTATTTTTAAGACTTTAGGTAACACAGAGGCCAACTGTCCACTCAATCATTATATGCTACTTCACTCACCATAAGAGTATCCTTGAGCCCAACCCTGTGGTGGGTATCCATATCCAGTCCACTGCTGATAGTTTTGATAGTTCGGGGGTTGAGTCCAACCATTGCCTGCGCTGTAAGCGCCCGTTTGTTGGCTTGAATTCCATGCGGAGGGCGGATATGCCGACGGTATCATCCCATTAGGCATTCCTGGAAGGGGTCCGCTCTGAGGGGGAGGCGGTTGGCCGGGAGGAGGGGGTACATGCATAGGGGGGCCCGACTGATGTCCCCACATGGGGTTCCAGGGAGGCATTCCACCAGACATAGGGTGACCGCCGCCCGGCTGTTGCATCGGATTGCCTGCCATTAGACTTGTCAGCGGTTTTCCAGTCGCCTTATCCCTGGGTTCGGCTCTTTTGATTTCAACCTGTATTTCGGATTCAAATACATTAGTAATCGTTTGAATGAAAACAAATATAAAAATATAAAATAAAGAAAAACTAAATTAATTAGAAGTGAATCGTTGAACAAAACCTTAAACCCCTCTCTCATGCGATGTCTTAAACACTATTTAATAATTATAAACATCAATAGTCGCGAAATACTGTAAATAAATATCTGGTATTAAATATAAAAACAAATTATTGCTAAAAAGTATTAATCGATAAATATCTTAAAAATTATTTGCAATTAATGTTAATATAATTTATAATTTAAAAAATGATTATAAATTATTTGAATAAAATAAACTAATATATAAAATATCAATTAATTTAGTATAAAATTAGTCTATAATTGATAAAAATATAGTAATAATGAGTGCATTGAGAATGTAATGAATGTTCGACGAGGCATGAGAGTGAGGTCCGGAGGTCGAGACCATGGGGTGGTCATGTAGTGTGTGGTAAATGACCTGCTTTCCACTGATGGTGACAAAATGATCTTGCACAACTTTGTCTATCGTGTCTTCATTATCAAAGGACAAGAATCCAAAGCCTAACCAAAAGGCATTCAAATTCCAGTTTATATTAAAGTCATTCAAAGTCGAGCGAAAAGTGTCAACAAGTAATGCAATTCACGAAAGATTAACAACTATTTCACTTAATTATAGTTATAATTATATTTAAATTAATATATATATTATATATAACGTAAGTTATCAGAAGATTCACTATTTTATGACTATTAATAATATTTATAGTAAGACTTAGTTTGCATTTAATTAAACCTAAAATATAAAATGATATAATTGTTAAAACAATTGTTTAAATTCACAACAATTAAAATACTTACACAACATTTAGATTTAGTAACTAAAGCATAACGTAATTAATACTAATGTATTATATTGTCATTCATATAAGTCTATAATTATTTAAGGCATAAGTAATTCAAATACAAATTCAGTGTTGTTTCCAAACTAGTTATAACTATTAAGCCATTTATTACCTCGAGTTTTCTTTTTCTCCTATAATAATACAGAACAAAAAATCATTAGAATTACAATGAATTAAAATATTCAATTCAATGAATCAATTACCTGATCATACATTATCACCACTTCGACCACCTATTCATGAGAGTAAATGACAACAATTAGTCTTTAAATCAATTGCATTACAAATATATTACTTTTCCATATTTGGAGAAGAAGTCTCTGAGAGTCGATTCATTCACATTCGGTGGAAGTCCTCCGAGAAATACTTTGGGAAAGTTTCCCACTTTTGCGTCCCGTTTGCCTTTTTGTGCGCTCTTTGGGTTACACTCTTTCGGGTCAATCTTTGCGTAAATCAATTGATAAGTCAAAACTTATGCAATAATTCGTACAATCAGTCAATACATACCGTCCGGCCGTCGAGAATGTGCGGACCGCTGGCTATCACTATCTGTACAGAAGAGGGGTCTTTGAATGTGACAAAACCAAAACCACGTGAGCGCCCGGTGTCTGCATTCTTCATAACCACACAATCAGTCACTTCTCCATAACGGCTGAAATGTTCCGTCATTTTCTCTGTTCAGTGCGGGATCTGGTCTTACAATCCATTCAACCCATAACTCATTCAATGCTAAATCACTTACCGATTGTTGTCTCCCAACTCAGGCCTCCGATGAAGAGTTTCCTGTTTAACGACATATCAATCA